CAGACCCTCCGCCCCCACAAATCCTGGCTCCAGTGTTATATTAGTGGTGGTATACAAACACCTGGAACCCACTATTCTCTGTGTTATAGGACACAAAATAAAAATCACATCACAATCACAAAAGCATAGTGGAACGAAGGTCCTGCTTTTTGGCAGTGTGCAGTGTTTGCCCAACCCGATTACTACGTCTTTAGTGGGGTATCTCATGGGCAGGAAGTCCTATCGCTTGGGAACCGTTTTCCAGACGTCATGGTAACCTGCAACCAGGATTTTTCGCCTTGTGTTACAGAAAAAAGTTTACCATTTATGCACTTGCTAAGTTCAGAAGTATAAATAGGCTCTATATATAATAGAGCCTATTTATATTATATAAGTATAATCCAACTGGGTGCAAGCAGAACTAGACCAAGCAGGTGACTGGCAGATCCAGCATGGCTCAGGGCTGTAAATGCCAACATTAAAAAGTGCACAGCTGGTTTGTAAACAAAGGCTATAGGCACTTCCAGTACTACTGTAGGATGGTGGCCATCTTCTCTAAGGGCAGAGCTCATTGAAAGTGACCTCATCAAACTCCCCCATGTAGCTACAACTAACCATGACCTGAAATCATCCTCACCTTTACATGCATTAGTGTTCATGGCCGATTCTAAAATCCTGCATATGCATGGAGCACAAATATATGGGAAAATGATAGACACGGAGATGGAGGGAAAAAAATTACAGCCATTATTCCCATGGTAGGCTTTAGCGCTTGCACATTTGAAATAATTCCACTTCTGCACGTAAATGCTGCCCAAACCTGTACAGGTCAGCAGTGTAAAAGAGCAATAAGTCTACCTCTATGGTCTGTAATTAAATTAAGAACTTTGATGGGGGCAGCTTGGAGAAAATTGCTGCAAAATCTTATTCCTTCCAATTTTCTCACCAAGGCTACCTAAAGAGAATTTCGTTCTCGTAAAAGCTCAACCCAATCACCTACTGTTGTACCTCCCCCGCCACTCTGTTCATCTCTTAGTACCCTGTGTCTAAATCCTCTGTACGCTCAGACACAAATGTGTGACCTGCTTCTCTCCCACATGTGATAGTGCTTGGTCCTGGTGACTGGTTGCACTAGCTAGAGCACTGTATCCCGAAAAATGGGAAGGTCAACCTTTTTTCAAAGGCTGACAGATGAACAGAGCATCAGAGGAGCACAGCAAGTGTGTCAGTGGGTATGGGGTGAACTTTTACCTGAAATGGGAAAAGTGAGAGGCTCTCTTTATGTAACCTAAAAAAAAAAAATGGAAACCGTCCACCTAACAAATGCCTTCTCGGTCCAAGGAAAAAAGCAGACGTCTCCAAATGAAAAAATGAGCCTGGTCACAAAAGGTGTATAAGGCCTTGGCATATGGAATGGTTAAGTCTGCCAAGCAAACATAACACACTAACTTGAATGCTGAGGTGACATCCTGATGTGTGATGGTTAAACAAAGCACGGCTTTTGTGACAATTTGGGTCAGCAGTTGACTGAGCAAACAAAGACTTATTTCTGTACAGAAAACTGTTCACTTAGGTCTGCAGCACAGTCCATTGTTTTGGTTTTTGCAACAGACAAAAGGTTTTTCAGTTTCAGGCCTGAGATAAGGGATTTGTAGAGTATATGGGCATTAATAGCCATAAACGTTTAATACTCAGTAAAGTCAGTATTTACTCTTTAACAATGATTTTACAGAAGACATGAACAAGACAGTGAAAAGTCGGTTTACTGCTGCAATGCACACCCACACATTTGGGTCATGGGGGTGGGAATTCAGAGAAGTAGGAATTTTATGCTCTCGACAGTCTAAATGTTGTATACCGAATACCTGTGTCATCCGCTTTCAGATACCATACCCATGTGTCAATGGAGGCCTGCCCATAGCAATTTAGTGATCAGTTTTGGAAATTGAAAAAAAAAAAAAATAATAAATAATAATGGTATGTACTTGGCACACTCCCAGGCCTATTTATAAAAGAGGGTGCAGTCAAAATTCTAGCATATTTCATGGATTTGCATTGACATGTAGTAGCATTTAAAACTTTTTCCAACAGTCTATTTATACACAGGTGGAAATATTATAGCTTTTAACCTACAAAATGTTGCCAAAATGGTATGCTGCCTCTATTTAAATCCTTTATCCAATCCAAATCTTTTTTTATTTTTTTTCCAAAGACGAATGGTCTTATTTCAGAGGAGGAGGAGGACGAGGAGGACGAGGACGAGGAGGACGAGGGTCAGGCGAAACCGAAATCATTTTTTTTTCTCTAACCTTTTTGTAAAAATATTTTAAAAAAAATTTTACTTTACTGTTGGGGGCTTTGGGAAATATTAGGGGTCTAAACAGATCCCCGATATTTCCCTTTTAAAATAGAAAAAGAGATTGACACAGAATCCTCAATCTCTTTTTCTGCCGGCCCGATCTCCTGTGCAAGATGACAGCTGTCTCCACCCCCACACCACCGCTCTCCTGATCGGTCACAGGAGGCTGAGCGGGGCGGTGCGGGAGGAGAGCTCAACCTCCTGTGACAGCACCGACAGCTGTCTCCGCCCCCACGTCGGCAGGTGGGACCTCGGCGGCTCACAGCGCTCTCCTCCCCCGCACCTATCAGCCTCCTGTGACAGTTTCTCTCCTCCTCACTGAACGCTGCTCAACCTGCTATTGGTTATTTTACATTGCAATATCGGGCTATTGCATCCGCCCATTGCCTGCTGTCTATCAGCAGAGGAGGACCTGAAGGAGAACTTTCTCATTCAGTTCCCGTCTCTGCCGATTGACAGCAGGCAATAGGCGGATGCAATAGCCAGCCTGCTTTTGGTTATTGCGATGTAAAATAACAAATAGCAGGTAGCTTCGGGGGACATAGCGGGAGGAACGGGGAGCATCGGAGGCACAGATTTTTTTTCTTCAAATGGTTCAAATTTTCTCAGTTTAAAAACATTTGATGTTTTCTATTTTGCATTGTGAATAAAATAAGGGATTATGAGATTTGCAAATCATTGCATTCTGTTTTTATGTAGATTTTACACTGCGTCCCAACTTTTTGGGAATTGGGGTTGTAAAAGATCATGCGATGTGGAAGCAGGAGAGACCCATGTCCCTAGCTGCACCCCCTAGCTTGGTGCTCCTGCCTCAGCCTAGCCCTGCATCCTCATCGAAAGGATTGTTTTATGTAGGGTGAGGATAAGGTTGACTTGTGAATGCAACTTCACGTTTTCTTTGCAAGTCCTTCAAAGTCTTAGGACTTTGTTGTGGGCACAGCAGTGACCAAAGCTTAGCCCTAAAATATCAGAAGACTTCCTTTACATTCCACAGAGCAGCTAACAATAGAAATGTATGCGAAGGTAGACAGATTGCCAGTCATTCGATCTAGATTTTTTTAATGATTTCAGGTCTATGGGTTCCCTGCTTCTGCTGTTCTGGCCACTGTTAAGTGGAAATGAACAATCTTGCAGGGTTAAAGAAATGTATCCTTTCTCCATATATAAAAAATTATAATAAATTACGGTTGGCAGAGTTGACCCTACAAGTTTATGAACTCCTGTATTAAAGACCTCCCTTTCTAGTCTATGGCAGCCTAAGGAAAGTCTTTACGTATTTACCTTCCTTGCAGTGGTTTGAAGTCTAGCACCGCAAGCTCTGCAGGTGACCTCTGTAAACAGAGGAGGAGAGGTTCTAACGTTTTGATTGGAGCGGTCCGATGCTGTACCACTGTGCGAAATCTCTTCTGGGCCAGTATCAACACACAACCAGTTACAGCATGCAGCCCACATAATCACACCTGCAGAAAGAAAGCATCACGGTTATAACGATTGAGAAAATGAGCATACTTTCTCCCACCAGCAACCAAACAAGACCCTGTCACTGAGTCTGTTACAAACACCAGCCCTGTAAAAGTGGCACTATGCTTACCTTTCCAGCGGCCCATGTTTGGAAATATCACCATTTCAGTGCTCCACGGCCAGCACAGGTATTCCACACTTGGGTGTGTGAATACCTGCTCCTCTTGTCGCTTGCAGTCACAAGATGCTGGTCTAAAAGATCTGCACTCCTAGTCTCCTCTCCTAAATCTAAAACTACAAGCTGCTGTGCAAAGAGCAAAATCTCTTTTCAATATCGATCAAAACAAATGTTCATCGCTAACAATGTAAAACCTAATGTTCAATTTTAATATATCACAGTTAAAATTCCAAGAAGAAAAACTATGCCCCCCCCACCGAAGGAAGTAACATGACAAAACGCGTCAGTGGTGGGTACACGCTGACTAGGCACCAGGAAGAGGTTTTCCTTTGAGGACTCCCAAACGGACGTTTGTTATATTCTGTTGCAGTAATTTGTGTAACCGGCCGGCATGGCTCTGGGAAGGAGAAGTTTTATGTGGCGATCACAGGACTACTTTTGCGAGTGTTTTTTTATAAAAAGTGTTTTTTTTACTGTATTACACTATGGGCCTCCTTAATGTTTTAGGAGCGCTTGTTGAAATCCGGTGAATAAGAGGGGAGAAGGAGAGGTGTGACACTGATGGTACAGCATTCCAGTGTACGGATTGGAAATGGCTATTACCACCTGATTTAGTGCTTTGGGACCATTTTTCTATAATGGTCCACCCTATCTGGTGTCACCTATAAGCGGAATATATATACTTCAACGAAGAGACCTTGTTGCACTGTATGGATCACTGAATGCACCTATGAATGTTTTTTGAATTAGAATGTTAACAGTAATATATTTAAATTGAACATTAGGTTTTACACTGCTAGCGCTGAGCATTTGTTTTGATCAGTCACTACAAGATGTAGTAGACAGAAGGAACCATTGCATGTCAGGGGGAGCAAGCAGCTGGCCCCTCCAACCAATGAAATACCTGAACAGTGAAGGGGTGGCATTTCAGGACATGGACCGCCAGAAAGGTAAGCATTATGCACCTGCTGTTACAGAGCAGGGATTTATTCGTAAGTGACCCCTGTGGTGACAGGGTCACTTTAAAGTAGATGTACCATAACTAAATTTGATTGTTTCCTAAAGCACTGTACATCTTAAACAACTGCCATGTTTTTTGCTTTCTTTAAATTACACTGCAAAAACAAACGCATCACTGGTGGTGTGAATAGGCCCGTAGTGGATTCTACTGAGGTGTTAAGATACCAATTAAACAATTGCCATTTGTAAGGTTATTTTTACAACTGACATACACCACTAGCCAAAATATATCAGGAAGACATTTTAATGCAAAATTCAGATATTCCCACTGACTTAGGGCACAGTAGCTGGCTTTATCTTTTTCTACAACCCTATCATCTTTCTAAGGTGTGAATGGTTGCAGCACAATGGCTTAGGTAAGAGAGACATAAACAACAAATGACTTCCAGGACAACACATGGGTAAGGGCCCTTTCACACTTTGTGTTTTTGATAGGCATTACTACATACATTTAAGCACATTTTTTTGTCAAGATCAAAAAGAGACATTTGAAATTGGGGTTTTTTACGTGGTAGAGAAATTTAGAAACCCTTTGGAGGCACTGCCTCTCATTTTGCACCACAGGTGGCCAAGCCAGATTGCCATTTTCATTGGCACATTACAGCCTTGAAACTTTAAGAAAGACCCTTATATTATCTGAAAGCACAGCACTTGATGGGTCCTCTTTATGGTGACTAAACAGACTTCAATATCTCTCCTGCGTGCTGGAGAACGGTACTGGAGACACAAAGTTCCCAGTATCCTTTTGCTGCAGCATCTAGCACAGCAACAACAATCAACCTGAAAGTGGTGTCCATATTTCGATTTTGCAGCAGTGATCAGGTGGCTATGCAACTGACCAGATCACTTTTAGTGTAAAATTACAACTTTTAATGTAGGATATGCATCCTTAGGGTTAATAGTATACACACACACACACACACACACACACACACACTACAGTTCTGACAGACTAACTACTAAACATTAATTTCATTGGGGTTGCTCAACAGGTATAAACACCAAAAATAGTAAATGTCTTACATTTAAATAAAATAAGCTGAACAGCAGAGGACAGATGTGAACCACATAAGAATGTTTGGAATTTTTACCTCATGTAGTAAAAAGGGAGCTTTTTATTGCAGGAAACTCCCAAGAGTGAACAGACCCTTATAGAACTGGGTGAGTGCCCTAGACCCTAAGTCTATTGAAGACTATTAATATTTTACATTTAACTGGTCATTACAGGTAAAGTTTGCACTGAAAAAGGTGCATTTCTGTGTAAGGTCCATATAAATCTAACAAGTCAAGTACATGTGAGAGAATGTTAAAAAAATAAGTGGGCGACTATGACTACCCCTTTACCTACCTGATACAGCTGTCAATCAACCGCCAATTAATAATAATATTAATAATAATGTTATTATTGGCACCAACAACAATAAAGCAAGAGGTCTTGGTTGCATATTAGCCAATTTCCTAAACCAATCAACTTCAGAAACTGAGGCAGGTCGACAAGTTATATTTAGAAACCTTATCAGAAATCTAAAAGCAGAAATACATCAGAAACAGTATTTTTGTTAGAGGCATGTCCATTCACTTCCTGTTCCAGAGATGCAACAGGACAGCAGAGTAAATCTTCCCAAAGAGAGCAGTTGTTACCATAACAAATGTCCATACTGGAAGATATTTTCTCACTTCCTGTTCTTAGGAAAACTCAATAAATACTGGATTTTCAATCACTTTCTATACTGGAAACAATGGTCAGCAGGACAAATAGACTTTGCTACCGCAATGGAGTTGGCTTTACATACCCCATGCTTCAGGGGTCATGGCTTTCAGGGGTTGCCTGGTCCCATAACATTCAGCAATATTCCAGTAAAATTAAACTGCTTCATTCCTTGTTTGTCTTGCTTGACCATAAGATTTATTGCAAAAATGTACAGACATCAAAGAAGAAACCTTTATGCATTTCGCATTTAATGCTAATCGAGATCCTTATGATTAAACACATCAGGGTTTCTTTGATGTCTGTTTAATCTGTGCATGCCTGTACATTTTCATAATAAACCTTACAGTCAAGCAAGACAAACAATGGATGAAGCCAGGAGTAGACAAATCTGGAATTCAGGAGCCACTATGTCCAATCCGGAAGCCATCATGAGGTTTGTTTAGGAGCCAGCTCCATTGGCAGCTTGAGAAAACCCGCAAACGTTAGGCACTGGCTATAATTTTTAAGTGTCATTGGCTATCTGGCTGCTGGAATTTATCCAGCCCTGAATGAAGCAGTTTCATTTTATTGGTATTCTGCTAAACATACCAGGACAATAATAGCAAGTTGAATGCCACTAGACAGGGGCCCCCCTCCCTGACCTAAATGATCCCATCATCTTCCTAAGCAGATCTATACTTGCCAAGATCTGAGGTCTGCTGCTCTGTTTGTTGACTTTTAATGCTGCAAGTCTCCCTCGCTCTCCTGGCCGCATCTATCTCATGGCTGGAAGATGACCCCATAGAAGTCGATGGGGCTGTAATGTGCAGGTATGGCCAGCAGAGAGAGCATTGCTGAGCTGGATGTAAAAAATAGTAGAACCATGCCCACTGGATCTCGGTAAGTACAGATATGCAGAGGAAGTGGGGGAGGGGGGGATTGTTTAGGTCAGGGTTGGGGAGGGGGGCAAAAAGGATAAGTGCATTTTTAAACCTTTAAACACACTGCATAGGAGATGTCCAACTTGTACATTTTAAACAACGGTATGCAAGTGTTTTTATCTACGTCAACAGCTCACTAAAGGCGATGAAACAAGCATTGCACATACCATGATAAAGTACTGTCCATGACCCACCCACAGGAATAATAAGTGATAATTGTAATATACTGCCAGGTGAATGAGGAAGAAATAACACTACTATATAAATACATAGCAAACAGAAGAGCCATAAAGAATAGTGCAGGTAAAAGTATAAACAGTGCTTTCACTAACCTTTCTATTGCTTGTTCTAGCTTCTTATTTGCTGAAGAAATAGCTCTGAGCTTCCTCGTCTATTGTTTAAACCACTCCTATTACACACACGCTTTCTTATACTACACGACTCCTCAGGGTATTTTCTGACCACACAACATTTCTATAGGTCGTAGAGCAGCGACATGCATGTAATCGCATTATTATGGTTTCATTTTTCCAAAGCTCATCTCACCTGGTCATCTTGTACAAAGAATTAAATACAGAGGTCTGACCAACAAAATTGCGCAGTGTTCAGGATATGTGAACAGTATAAAGTCCATGCTGTGCTCATAATTGCCTCCCTGTGTCATGACATGATGACACATTATCTAGGAAGGTACACATCCTACATTGCCACTGTGACTCAGCACCTAAACTAGTTTATTTGCAACTTGCTATACTCAAACAGAAATTTTGGTTCCTGTTACTGGGTCAAGCATACCGATAGTATCACTAAAAGCTGTCCACATATACTCAAAAAAAAAAAACGTACTTTGATAGGAGGCAAATAACAAAAAACAGACTGAAGTACTTATGCTTGTTTAAAGCAACATAGATTTAATTATTTGTATTGAATACACAATGGGATTAAACCGTGTTATTTGTACATCTGTCTATAGTTCTGCTTTAAAAAGATGCTAAATATCCAGTAGATAGCATCTGTAAATCTAATGGATACTCACCGTGCAACATTTTATATCATCACCTCATTGATTATCCAGCCCTGCAGATAGATCAGTTCTGTATTAATATCCATTGACTATTTAAAGGCTAACTGGAATTATGTTGCCCTTTTTTGTTTCTTTTTGTTTGATTT